TCGGTTAGCGACAAACTGCTTCCACCGCTGAGACTCACCACGTATCCATCCCAGTGCGATCATCGAGTCGGCCCAGCGCCGAGTCACCGTGTCCTCGGGAAGCCGCAGAGCCCTACCGCAAGAGTGCGGCCAGACGCGCGGCCAGCAGGCTCCCCAGAAGCTCGAGCCGCGGCAGCGTGACCCGCTTCAGTGGTGCGAGCCGTGCCTTAGCCAAAACCAGCGAGACCTCACCGGAGCCGTCTGGCCGGGCGGTACGGAGATACGCCGCCGCTCCGCACCCCTTTGGAGACGCGTCACCGAAGGCGTGCAGCGACACGTCCTCACCGAGACGCCAGTCGCGGCTCGAATAGCAGCGCGGGATCCGCAGCTGTTTTAGGGTCCCAGTAACGCTCAGCCAGTTCGAGAAGACCAGGCTGCGGTCCGCCGAGAAAGCATCGTCCCAGTCGAACCCCAGCTGCCACAGCTCCTAGAACAGGTTCTTCGCCACCATCACGAAAGGCGCCACGAACCCCGGTGGATCAAACAGCCGAGCTATGCAGCTCAGCACCACTCGTTTGGTCGGAGTCAGGTCAGCGGGAACCGCCAGACCCTCAAACGAAGAAGTGTCCTCGCCTGGGTTCCACATAACCCCCAAAACCTTGGTGCTGTCGCGCTCGCCGCTGCCGGTGGCTGCGTGGGTCCTGTCAAACTGCTACTGCGCTGTTGGAGTTACACTTGGTCAGTGTCATCCCCACTCCAGACATCACGACCTGGGCCTCAGTAAATAGAGAGCTGGCCTCATCCTCCGAATCCGCACTTGAGAGGTCATCCACATAAAAGTTCTCGGCCATCTCAGTTATCGCACGGGACGGAACACACGTGGACAGGTGATGCCGGATGGTGGCGTCCAACAGGAACGGACTGCTGCTAACGTCGAACGTCACCCTCCGAAAGCGCATTACACGTTTCCGACCGTCATGGATCCACAGAAACCTGTGGACGTCCCTGTCTTTTCTCCTGAGACTGATCTGAAGGAAGGCTTTGCTCATGTCGGCTGTCACTGCGACCCGCCAACGCCTAAACCTCAGCAGCACACCCACCAGACTCGGGATGAGGCACGGTCCCACCTCCAGGCAGTCAATGAGCGAGACGCCACTGGGACCGGACCTGCGGATGCATCGAAGACCAGCCTCGCCCGTGTCGACTTACTGGACTCCTTCACGACAGGATGATGGGGCAGGTAGACCCTCGGGTGCGGACCATCCAGCTCGTGGCTGGGAGCCTCCTCAATCCCACCTGCCTGGTCCATCCCTTTGAGCGCCTCTGCATAGGCCACTCCCAGCTCCGGGTCTCTCGCCAACCGGCGAGACAGACCCGTCAGACGCGCCTCAGCGGCAAGTCTGTGGTCCGGCAGCTGACCAGCGCCGCCTGCCTTCCACGGCAAGGCGACCTCATACCTGGCACCAGCCCTTACCACTGAGGCGCTGAACTCCTTCATCACCTCCGAGTCCCCCACCTCTGGATAACTAACACCGATGCCCGAGAGTGACCACAACCTGCGGAGGGACTGCTCGTGGATATCTCCAAGGCAGAGCAGCTGACTGGTGGCACCAACTGTCGGCAGCGCACTCATCTTTCCGGAGACAACCCACCCCAGGGAGGTTTCTTGTGCCACGGCTCCCCCATCGAGCCTCATCTCACCTTGTTTCACAAGATCCCAATAGCAGTCCATCCCCACCAGTATGTCCACCGTCAGCTGTCTGTCTGAGGGCGGGTCAGCCAGCTCCGAGTGGCTGAAGGACTGAAGAACTCCAGCTGGCAAGACAGGGCGCTGGAGAGGGGTGCAGCTGACAGGGATCCTGATGGCCTTGATGGTACGGACAGAGGGTGAGGCCATGTTGGAACCGAACATGTTAACACGGTACACATCCCTGTGCTCAGCTGATGAGCCAGTTCCCCCAAACGCGGCATACGAGGCACTTTCAGATCCTACCCACACAGGCTCTGCTCGCTTCACAAGCCTCTCGCTGACATAGGTCCCGTCACTACCCGTGTCAAACAGCACTGTGGCCTCTACACGCCGCCTCCTCGACCCACTTCAGTCACACGAGCAGTTGGCAGCACTGTACATCTCCTTTCAGGACCACGACTCTTACAGGGCAATGACGGACAATGTGCTGGGCCTGAGTCACTGCTGGGGGCTCCCTGCTTCATGCCTCCTGTGACACCCTGAACACTCTGCGCCCCCACCACCAAGCCGTTTTAGGCAGCACAAAACACTGTGACGTCCTTCACACTTAGCACACACTTTGTCACACCTGCGAGCCACATGTCCACTTCTCAGGCACCGAAAACACAGCCCAGCCTGCCTGATAGCATCTCTGCGCTCTGGTATTGACAGGGGCTTTGGCTTCAGACGCATCTCAAACTGGTGTGTCTGCCCACAGAAACCACACCGTGGCCTGGCCCTGATTGCAGAGCTGCTGCTGCTGGTGTCCTCTATTGCTGCCCCCTCTCCTTCTCTTGTCGAGCCGGCACAGACCGAAGATACGCAAACTTGGTCACATCAGGCAGCTCCGAATTATTGACGGACACCTCAAAGCTCTCCCAAAAGGACTGCCACTTGAGGACATCCCTTCTGAATCTCGGGAGCTCCAACCTTGGAAGCCTCAGATGACCCCCCCCCCCCCCTGCTCAGTGAGCCCACTGACCCAGCCCTACTGTCCCGCTCCCGGGCTCCACCAGTCTTATCCAGAACCGACATCACCCCGTCTCTCAGGTCGGCCGCACCCTCAATATCATTAAGTATCTCAACCTCTGCCTCAAAGCATACCTCCACCTCAGACTGGGCCTCATCCAGAATCTGGAGCCCCTTCTCGCATTCAAGTTTAGCGGCCTGAAGGGCATCTTGGTCTGGTTGTTTATCTTCCAGAATTCCCTCAGTTTCCTCACCGACCTGGTCAGCCAACCTCTGGTTGCTGTTCGCTTCTTGAAAGCATCCGGGCTTACACTCACCTTGACAGGGGCACTCGGAACAACTCAGCAAAATAACAAAAGCTTAAACTTCAGTTTCTTACGTCCCGGGTTTCGGCACCAAAAAACGTTAGGAAAAACTCACTGAACACACATTTCCAATCCTCCATTTCCCTGGCCAGCCCCTCACTCCCCTCGGGAGGGGCATCTGAACATCCGGACCACCCCCTCGCGCACTACTACAAAAACCGCCGCCGCCGCGCTACCGCCGCCGGCCACCGGCCACTGCACAAAATGTCTGGCCGCCGCCGGCCTGCTAAAACACTGCTTAACATCAATAAATATCTACTACTAAATAAAAATCCCCAGCATCGCCTATGGTTGTCGCCATGTTTGAAGTGAAATGAGCCCGTTTGGAAGTCTGGACAGCTCGTTTGTGTCCGAAATTCAATCACAGCAACATACTTATTGTATGCTTTGGGGCATTCAGTCGCGTTTTCTGGTGTTAAAATCGCGTACGCAGCGCGTCGTGTAGCGTAACTTTGTAACGCATTTCTTCGTGCGTGGATCTTTGAGAGCGCATGAAATGTTCGTAAGCGTATATATTCAGGCAAAAAATATCTTTAATTAATCTTTGTATCCCTGAAAATTCACGCAAATAATTTTTCTCATCGCATTGATTACAGCATACACATTTCTTCATATCGCATTCCTATGCACGCGATACTTCCTACCACATACCTAAGAATACGATTATTTTGTACCATCATCAATTTTTTCGCATAAGCAACTCTTGGCACGTCATTTTTTGTGTTTTTTGCGCTGTTAGTTTTTTGTGTTTTTATCGCCATTTTTCGGCACATCCAATTTTTCGCATGCCATTCTTCATATCGGCAATTTTTGGGCTGGCAGGGTCCAAAATGCCTATGTCGGGTACGGTGTAGACTAGTGCGTACGGTAGGGATGCATGCACGCACAGAAATGCGTACATGCTGTGCCGCACGACATTTTATTATGCACGATTAATTTGTGCGCTATGTATGGCTTGCCCGACAACTCACGCACATGACATACGCATAATTGGATTGTTTCTTCCATGCGAATGACTTCGTACCGTAGGGAAGGCAATGTAACAAAAATTCGCTTTAAGAAGTGCAGCACGACGAAATGCAATACGACAAATCGGGTACACAAAGAAATGCGATACGAAGCAATGCGTGTGCGGAGAAAAGCAGCACAACGAAAAGCGGCATGAAGGAATGCGCACGCAATGAAATGCCATACAAAGAATTGTGCACACAAAATTTTGCGGATGAAAACATGTGCGGGGACCTCGTTTTGAGGATACAAATTTCTGCGTGCGAGGATTTGCGACACGAACACTTGTATAACACCATTTGTGCAAGAAGTTCCGCGCAAGATGTAACGCGATACAAATATCAGTGCGCCAAGTTTTGCAAAGAAGTTTGTTACGAACGAATGCGATACAAAGCGTCATCCCGTCGTGCACTGTGGTGCCGCCGTTTGGCCAGCGCAGTGTCGCTGTATTATTACATGAATAACTGGTTTCGCGCATATCTGACAGAGTTTTGTACAAGCCCACGAGGCACATACCCCTCTCTTTATATAGACTTCTGTGTTACAACAGCTGTCAAATGCAGAAGCTTCACAATTCAACATTTTGTGCAGCTCGATCTGAGAAAAAATGCGAGTTAATTGCAACGCTTAATCAACTGGTCTACGGACGACTAGCAGACAAAAATAGGGCGAAGGTTGAAAATTCCCACGGACATCGTCGACTTCTGGCGAGATTAGAATCCCATCGATCCTTTTTGCAAGCAGATATCAGTGATGCCTTCCGGTCGTCAGTCTTGACTCCCGGCGGTATGATGTCAACCGCGCCCACAGTAGGTCAAAGACGAAGTTCAACATCTCCTTCCCTCAATAGGCTGACATCATTTCTGTGATCCGGGGACCACGTGTTCGCAAACGTCGCGGCCTTACCGTGTCTGCGGCAGCCCTCAGTCAGATGTATGTGGAGCTCTGACCTGGCGGCATCTTGTCCGGGGTGCCGGAGCTCTCGGAGCAGATGGTGAGCAGCGTAGTGACGCCCAACGTTACCCGCGACGGGATGGCGTCCACGTCCAGCCAAAACGACACCTGCAGCAGCGCACGTCAGAGGACGTCAGAGGACATGACAGCACACGTCAGTAAACGACAGTTACGAGTTCAACGACGAAGGGCAACAGTTACGAGTACATTTCAGCGTTCTTGAACAAAATGGAACTTGACAGCAAGGCACCTCGCACACGTCACGGGGACGAGGACACGTGTTGCTCTTCCATATGCAACTATCAGCCCACCGTAATTGTACTAACTACGTGGGTAGTTGGGCCACAGTTCCCATGTTGCGAGCACAAGATTTAACAGTCGGAGAACTTTGTCTCGTGCCTCTGGGAACGGTGACGTCGGACGCCGCGACCGCCAATGCTCCAGTGACGATGTTTCCACATATTGGTGACATCACACTAGTAGCTATCGTTGGCAAGAGGTGGTCCGGTATAGCACTTCACGATTTGGATCTTCACGATACGGTCAAGTCCGGTCAGGCTAATCAAGATCCAAGCGTCCCGCTACTTTTCTTTTCCCAGATTTTTCAATCCAATCTAGTCTAATCGCCAATACCAGAAATGTCATGAAATGCATCTGTGCCAATCCGTTTCTACGAGACAGACTTCTTAAAATTTTAACAGTAAATGTGGTCAATCACTGTGCACTTAAGTTACTGATATAAAAGTAATACCCTTAAGTTACATGATTTCCTATTTTTCAGTGCAAAATGTGTAAAAGTTGCCATAAACCGGTGGGCGCTATATAACACTCAGCTGTATGCAGTTTTGCACGAAGACCACAATAAACGAGGAGCATTATATTACTAGTCATATCATAGTTGTTTTGGTCGATAATCCACAAGCATCACAACATCACAGAGACTAAAATCGTTCCTGGTGTCAATAACATAAAAGCATGAGTACATGACCTAACATGTTCATACTCCAAGTTAGGCACAACACACCTACACATGCCATTCGACAGTTACAGTGGCACCTGGTTTACAGGCGCATAACTACGCCTATCTAGTACGCCTTCATATCATATCGCCAAAATGCCAGATGGCACCAAACCTCCCTTTTTTATCCATACTGGAAAAATACGAAAGCTAGTTCTATTGGTAATCGTGCCTCGCACAGCAGCATGACGTCACATTTACGCAGCCAAAAACAAATTTTCTCACCGCATGGTATGGCCTTTGACTTTGTGTCTGTTGTTTTGTTTATAATGCGCTAAGAGAGCTTCAATGATACGCAGGGGCATGTTTTAGTCAAAATATGTAGCGTCTCTAGTGCGCATTATTACTGGCAAATTGGCTTTATGGGATAGTTTTTTGACGATCATTTCGAATTCCTGGATCATAACGACGTTCACACAATTTTTACAATTTTTAGTTTGACTTCATGGTGATCAGGGAAGGTTGCTGACATCAAAGGACTTCGATCAAGTTTTTGCTTTTAGGAACACGCCGCCGAGGGTAGTGCCTGGCGCCGATTATAAAGTTGAATATCAAAACAATCCGAAAGGCTTTTAGGGCCATTCTTCACCTGCTAAATGCTAACTTTGGTCACCGAGTTACTATAGGCACGGTAACCCAGCACGTACGTAGTATCCAAATTCGCGGGAGCTGCGAGTGGAGCAGAGGTGCCGTTGCCTGGAAGTTCTTGCCCCCAAAGTCCAATTCAAAATATGATAAGCGACCAGGTGTCCTTCCAAAGTGTCCAAACATCCTATTGTTTGAAAATCTCCGAGTTTGGATTTAAAGTGGATGTTATTTAATTAATATCTTCCCCACATACATCATTGTTTGATTGCCTTGTGGAATGTCTGCATGCCGTTGTGATGCTGCCAAGTAAGCCATGCAGAATTGCATCCGCAACATGTGTAGCACTTGAAACTCACCGGACATGGCAGCACAGTGCTTGAAGTGTTTGTTGAGCCTAATATCGCCATGTGCTCGTGTTTTGGCTCTTTCTCATGGTGCTCTTGTATATCTATCCGTGAATTTAAACGTTTACTTGCATTCACATACTCCGATTATGTTTTTTCAAATTGTTCTATAACAAGTCTTATCCGCCGTGCGGGTCCGTGTGTGGGTCCGGGTACGGATCCAGGTCCTCAGTAAATGAGGAAAAGGAAAAGAGATTTTGATCAATGAAGAGGGCCCTTAAAAAGAACGTTCCACCTGTATGTGGGGTTTTGAACTGAAATGGCCATCTTGAGGACCTTTTGATACAGTTCACGGCCATGCCCTTTTGGAAATCCACAGCCCTCTGGTTCCTGAGTTTCACGCCCGCAAAAGTGGCGAAAGGTTTATTGAGGGATTATTTCGGAGACAAACCCCAATGATGCTGTTGTGAGGAACGTTATAAGATCTTCGTAACATTGCAGGCTGTTTTCTTGCTTTGGTTGAAAACAACATGGCCGCTGATACACTCGCAAAAGCGATGATGCGGCACATATGATACAATCCGCGGAAGGTGATTGGTTGTCAGTAAGATTTTGCTGGTGAATGCGTGTGGCGAACGTAAACGGGAGCAAATTTGGGTTTTGCGGCAACGGGGTGTTTTTCCTTATATAGTGGGCCATGGGCCAAAGTTGTAAAAAAAGAACGCTAATGTCTGCAAAAAAAAACACGACATCAAAAAAGAATGGCTCTCTCCCGAAAGTTTTAAAAAGAAGACGCAACGGCAACTCTGTATTTTTTCATCCTACTGATGTTCTTTCTTCTTATACTCACGTATTTTTTACGGACAGCTCGGTTGGCGCCGTGTGCACCGAAACAAAGGAATCTTGCGCGGGTTTATGGGTTAGGTAGGCAATAGTAAATTAGGGAAACATTGCAGCAATATATATATATATATATATATATATATATATATATATTATATATATATATATATATATGATGTGATGTCTCCAGAGTTGTGCAAGTTGATGCACCTACTATTGTGTTAACAAATTTCGTATGCAGGCAAGTATTGCTTGTGAGTCATCATTGTCATAGTCAAAGGAACTTGTGTGAGATACTGGGTGCTGGGAAAGGTGAAGTATTACTGTTGGTTTCTTGGATAGCACTATATCATATTCTTATCATGAGCCTTGTGTGCACCGGCAGCTTCATCGCCTCCTTGCATCTCGCCCGTCGTACCATAACTACATGCACTTGTCATACATCCAGCATTGTGCAATGTCAGCAGGTTTGCAGTGTCATTTAACTGCATGCGATATTCTCTTGTTATACATGTATATTACTTGCATGAGCAGCACTTTTTAGTAAAGCAGCCTGATGCCTGCAGCATGTTGCATGGCTGTGGAAGGAAAAGACATGTTTGCATCTTTGTCACCCATGTTTTGCGGATTTCCAAAACAGACTGACAAGAGATGTCACTTATTGGTTGTGTGCTTTGCTGAAAGTGATTTGTACATTGCTTCATGTGTTTTTGGTCAGTCGTATGTCAGATGCGGAGTTAATAAAGCAGCCGGGATTCCAGTACAAAAAAATTACTGTTCATTATGCCATGCCACAGTACCGCACTCACGTAGTGTCATGATGACACTGTTGACCCGTGCCAGTACACAAGGTACCCGTGCCATTGTACCCGTGACCCGCGCCATTAAACATTGGCTGACGACCCTATGTCAAGCCTATGAGACAGCAGCTTATAACCTATAATGACTGGTAACAACTGATTTAATAACACAAAGGGCTATCACTAGCGAGGGTGCTGTTGCACCACAATGGCTATACCAGGGTTAACTAGTAATTGCTTAAATAATCCTAAGCAAGAAAAACGTTCTTGGTAGGTCACCCTTATCATCCCCACCATAGCAATACAATGCTTGGGCAATTCAATTCACAGCAATATTACAGATTTATCACTGCGTGCAACTGACATTTCCATTAAAAATAATGAAGAAAGAAACTACCGTGCACATCACATGATATCAATGTCACGACTACTGCACTGCAGGCACGATAAGTCGACGGTACAGAACAATAATGCGTGAACAATATTTTTTAGTCAAGCAACCTGATGACTGCAGCATGTTGCAGGGCTGTGGAAGCAGAAGACATGTTTGCACCTTTTTCATCTATGTTTTGTGATTCCCAAAAACAGGGTGACCAAGAGATGCCACGTATTGGTTGTGGCGCTTTGCTGGAAGCGATTTGCTACAGCATCATGCGTTTTTGGATCACTAATATGTCAGATGCGGAGTTAATACAAGAAATGCATGCCTTGATCCATCTTTTGCATAATGTAATTTATTGTAAAAGCAGCAGGGATTGCAATACAAAAACCATATCATTGTTCATTATGTCATGCCACAGCATAGCACTGAGGTAGTACCACAGTGACACCGTTGACCCGTGCCATTACACAATGTATCACTTTGGCTGACTATTCTATGTCAAGCGTATGTGATAACGAATTATAATTTATGAATGATTGGTAACAACTGACCTAACAACGCCAAACACTATCAACAGTAAGAATTCTGTTGCCCTACAATAGTTATATCTGGGCTCAATAATAATTGCATAAAGAATCCCAGGCAAAGAAAACAATTTGGCAGCTCAACCTTACCATTTTTACCATAGATAAAATTTGGAAGTAGCCACTGTGCACATACATGATATAAATGTCCGGACTACAGCACCGCAGGCAAGGATAAGTTGACAATACAGTATTCACATCCTCAACAGTCCTTGGCAGGTTTCGGTGCGAGATTCATGACAGTCTTCGTAGCATACTGTGCTTTGATTTTCAAAATCTGCCCTAAAAGCTGGTGATCGCTACGTTGCGCATGTCAGCCAGCCGACCAAAGCTTCCCTTGCGACCAGTACGAAGAAAAAAATTCACAAGCAAACCAATCACTATCCCGCCGCCGAACACAGTGCCCGCGACAAGAATGGATTGTTGGCGTCAGCTTTCTTGCTTTTCGAGGTATTCGTTAGGACTGGCTGCCAGACGCTGCCAGGTATTACTGTCGTCACAAAACCATGCCATGACGTCATGAAACAATGACGCAATGTGGCGCATTTTTACAAACTTTGA